CTTGAGGAACACTCGTATGAATCTTCCTCCCATTATTTTCATTTTAGGGAAAAAGGCTTGTTGTGACGTGTGGTTTATTCGCTATGTTTAAATAGTTTCGTTGCTTTGCAGTTGTCGAAGATGGGACTGATTTAGTTATTGCATCAAGCTTTAAAGGCAATGAGGTCATTGCCAAAGTTCTGTGTTTTTGCTTTCTATTCCCTTTTCCAACAGCAATCTTTTTGCTGTGAATAATTGTGTATCATAATTGCAGTTATAATAGTTTTTATGACACTTTGAGGAACTGCGGGAATTTCTATAGTACTTTCATCGCTTTTTACAATGTGATAAACCGGAATCGCCTGCTCCAAAAGCTCTAATGGGGAAACGCTACCACAGTTGTGATGAAGCGCTCACACATCTTTTTGCTGCAGATTATACATCTGAGCATCGCCAGCAATGACGGGGCCCATATGCTGCACGAACCACAGGACGCCACGAAATTGATTGTTCTCGAGCCAACTACGGGAAAACAGTGGTTCCTGTGACCCATCTTGGTGGATTTTAAGTTGGGAGCATTAGGAGCCTGCCAGCACTGGTCTTCAGCTACGATGCCTCTACAGAAGCCGCTATCCCACGCCAGTCATTCGAGGCACGCTACCACAGCCATGAAGGAACGCTCGGACATCTTTTTGCTGCAGGTTCGTTATTTGAATGCTTTAACTTGCCGTCGTTCAAGCAACTATTGTCTGCTAGTGGTATCCTACCCCGGTGCTTGGTTGTGCTGTTTTCGTTGCGTGTGGTCTTGGTTTCGGGACGTCATGTCCTTAAGTTTGCAGTGTGAAATAAATTAAATGAAATATGTGCTACAAAAGCCATGTTTTTGCTGCAGAAGCTGCTACAAGCAGTTCTTTTTTAAACTTCACCACTGATGATTACATGTTGTCTGTTAATGCATGGAAAAATTAGCCACTTGTGCTTTCTTGCCTTTGAAACATGCTCAGATAATTATATGGTTTGAAGTTGAACTGGGGGGGGGGGGGGGGGGCTTCATTGTTTACTTTTAGAATGTAACACACATCTCCAATGTTCAACTCAAAGAGCTTCCCGCAGCGTCCATCTGCATCACACTGGGCAAGCCTTTGTGCATCTTTTGGCATGCAGGATACAACACCACTTTATTTCAATTGCAGGCTACTGTATTACTGTAAAATACCAGGCAAGCGCCCACTCAAAATTTAGAGGTAATCGCGAAAAAATGGGGAATGGGCGCTTGCCTGGTCATCAACTTTACGTATAAATGTACTGTGCATATTTTCTGAGATCTTAGAAATTTGGATATCGGCGTTTAATGTGGAATGGGCGGATGCATGGTATTCTACGGTAGCTAAGAGTTGTACTTGGAGTGTCGTTCGGTACAAGGAAAATAGTTTTTCTTCATATGTTCACAAATCTGGTTCCCTCCATTTTCAATTATATATAAGTGGCACAGATAAGAAAGATTGTAAATAATTTGACTCCCAAAAAAAAACAGAAAAAAAGACAAGTGACACATTATTTCTAAGCTCACAGTTCACCATTTGCATCTCTGGTTGATTTCTATGGTACATACTACACAACAAGGAATCACCCTGTGCCACCTACCTTACCTGAATGCTGAGGGTGCTTGCTTTTGTTTATTGGTTGAAGGGGGTCAAGATCCTTTTTTAACAAAGGGATGGACCGGATGAGGAAGCAGCTGTGGTTGTCACGAGCCAAAATTTCACCAGCTTCCACATACCCTTGCGATTCTATCCTGATAGCCTGCTGTTATCTGATCTTATTGAACTCGGTCATGCAACCGCACCTGGTAACTGTACTGCCGAATGTTCACACGACACCGAGGGCTGTCTTTGATATGGGGCTTTGCTTGACCTGCATAGGCTATGCAAAAGTGGATCGCATATTGTTCCCACCATACAATGCACCTGGAGGTGTCTCCTCTTCCAACTTTTTTTTTTGCTCCTCTTCTCTGTTCAATACACAAACTGATATCAAATGGGGGGTAGGTGGTGCCATATGATTTAAGTTATCTTCTATGTTTTGTTTTATCTGTAATTTCTGGTAGCAACCTCCACTGAGAGATCCTTTTGTTTGCCGAGTCACTTCTATCCGTACCTGTTTTTTATGTTTCCTTTGTGGCGTATCAACAAGCCAGTCTACAATTTTAGTCGCCATGCATTTTTATCCTAATTATATTGACGAGTAGGATCACTTGTGGCTCTGTTTTGGTTGGAGTACCATAAAAATCCACGCTATGTTTCATGGGAGTTACTTCAGCTCAAGTTCAAGTTCATTACTTTAAGGGCTTTCTCATGGAATGCATTGGGGGGGGGAACAAGAATTTGTAGCGGCAATAACAACATTCAAAATAGATTAAGCATTAATTTCACGTACACATAAACAATTGTTTATGTGTATGTGTAAAACAAAACAACAGCTGTAGGTATTATTTTAGCATTCAAATGGTTCTAGATTTTTCAGGAATGGAAAAAATGAAATCTAAGGATGTCACTGAAGCCCATTACATGTTACTATAAAGCTGCCGAATTTGTTTATCAAAAAATGCATTAGTTTCGCACAAAAAATTCTAATTAGTTGCGGGACCATCGGGTCCACCTACCCAACGAGCCAGGCCTTGGTGACGACATCTGCCTTGTCCCTTTAGTGTCTCTAGTCAGTCCCAAGTTGCGGGGCGGTGCCACTCGTAGATCTCTTGTATGCACTTTCTGGCATGGATCAGAAGGCGCCCAGGCGTCCCTTGCCTCAACTAAGCTCCTTTGTCCCACTTTTCCCTCCCAAGTTTTGGGAAGTTGGAATATCTGGCACAGCTTGCTCCTTCGAATTCAACGTCACTTATTAAGGGAGACGGAAGAAGAAGAAAGAGGTACAGAGCCTGAGTAACGGACAGGCGTGGCGTGGCGAACGCGGGTAGAGAACAATGAAAGAGAGATTGTTTAACGTCTCAATCAGAGTCACGTGGTTTATCGACGAGCTGCCGTCGCCACAGTAGGAGTTGTGTCAAGGTATCCTGGTCCCCAGATAAAAATGATGAACATTAAAAAAAATAATTTTGTAATTATTGGAATTTTAAATACTCTGAAATGTTTCGTGTAGGTCCAATAGGTGTTTTCATGTAACAAATACTCGTAACTTGCCTAATTTCTGTGTCCATGCCCCTTTCAAGTAGTTTCATTTGGGGTTTACAGCTTTCTTAAATCACACTTGCACCTGCAGTGCACTTACGTGTAACTCATAGTTTGCAGATATTGGGAGGTTTAGTTTGTCATCGCATTCTATTCAAAACCTAACCACATCCCGCATTTTTTTTTCCAGGTTCTGTAGTTGTTCATATGGACTTGATTGCTCTGGAAGTTATGATGATTGCCTTCCACATGAAGGCTGGACGTGACCCACCAATTAATTCTCAAGAATAAAGGTATGCACGTGTTTTATTCCCTGCTGCACCTTGTGTGCACTTCCTCGAAATTTCTAACTAACACGGTGTTCAAGCACCTGCAGGTGTTTATCTCTGGGAGGTGCACTTTCTTAAATCACACTGGCACTTGCAGTGCACTTACGTGGAGCTCATAGCTTGCAGATATCGGGAGGTTTAGTTTGTCATCACATTCTATTCAGACCCTAACCACATTCCACATTTTTTTTCCAGGTTCTGTAGTTGTTCATATGGACTTGATTGCTCTGGAAGTTATGAAGATTGCCTTCCACATGAAAGCTGGACATGACCCATGAATTAATTTTCAAGAATGAAGGTATGCACGTGTTTTACTTCCTACTGCATCTTGTGTGCACTTCCTCAAAATTTCTTACTAACATGGTTTTCAAGCACCTGTTTATCTCTGGGACGTGCACTTGGCAGTAACATCTAAATTAACTTGCGACAGCAGGCTTGAAGAAACTCTGTGAATGCGGCAACTTTATCTTCGAAGGCATTTTTCAGACTTCCGTTGCTAAAATGGTTTCGTAGCATAAGTCACAAGTTGGTTTCACTGTCTAACGTCTGCCAGAATTAAGCTGAGGTTTCTGCACTGCACTTATGAGCAGCACTTAAAGTCTGGGTCGTCTCAGGGGGTCCCCCACTCATTTTAACGGATGGTCTGGGTCCCTCCTCCACGGCCCCAGCATTAGTGAAATCAAAATCATATCTTGCAATAAAATAGCTTGTTTTCAGGAATGTGACATTTGGGGATTAGCATTTTCAAGGTTGCAGGTACGGTGGGGACAGAGTCAGCAGTCGGTCTTATTTTATGTGCATCTAATACATTTCGTCAGAACCCCCCCTCCCGCCCTCCTCCCTTCTTTTAGGGACCCCCCTCAACCTAAGGGAGACTTCAAGCTCTGCTTATGTGTAACTCATAGTTTGCAGCAAATGGGAGGTTCATTCTGTCATCACATTCTGTTCAGAACCTAATCACATAGCACATTTTTTTGTTTTGTTTTCCAGGTTCTGTAGTTCTCCCTATGAACTTGATTGTTCAGGAAGTTAGAGATTGCTTTCCATGTGAAAGCTGGAAAGCAAGCCCACTAATTATTTTAAGAATAGAGGTATAAACATGTTTTACTTTGTACTGCATCTTATGTGCACTTGCTTGAAATTTCTTACTAACACGGTGTTTAATTATCTCTGGAATGCACAGTTGGCAGTAACTTCTGAAATTAACTTGTGACAACAAACTTGAAGTAACTTATTGGATGTGGAAATTCTGTCTTCAAAGAAATTTTTTTAACCTCCCTTGTTGAAATGGTTTCGGATCATAAGTTACAAGTTGGTTTCACTGTAGTGCTCGCCAGAGTTCAGATGAGGCTCCTGCAATGCGCTTAGATGTAACTCGTAGTTTGCTGAAATTGGGAGGTTTATTGTGTCATCGCATTCTGTTCATAACCTAACACATTCCACATTTTTTGTTTTTGTTTTCCAGGTTCTGTAGTTCTCCATGTGGACTTGATTGCTCTGGAAGTTAGATTGCCTTCCAAATGAAAGCTGGACGTGGCCCACTAATTATTTTTCAAGAATAAAGGTATGAACATGTTTCACTTCATACTGCATCTTACGTGCACTTGCTTGAAATTTCTTACTAACACGTAGTCTTGTGCGAATAGATGATTTTGAGTTAAAAGCGAATAGAGGTATTGGCCGTATATTTTCGATTTGAATATTAAATAGTTTTTCCATGCTTTTTACTATCACTGCATAATCCTTAGACGAAAACCCAGCTAAACCTGTGAACGTTGTTCCACTTGTTTGTTTATAAGCTAAGTTTAATCTATCTATATTTATGAACTGTGACTTCAGAAGTTCTGATGTCTTGGAATGGCAAGTAAACAATGGGTTTGACATAAAATGAATCCTATAGAGATGCCCAATTGAGTGAATTTACAAATCTTGCTCTAAAAAATAATCTTTCGTTAATTTGAGTTAAAAAATGAAAGCTGTTTACGACTCCCTGTAATGCCGGATAAGAGCGCAGCTCTTGAGGAGGAGGAGGGAAGGGTACTGAGGGATAGGTGACCCCCTGAGGTTGCGCGACCTCGTGGGGGCAGGTCACGGGACTTCAGGGGGGTGACCCTCGTGAGGGTAACCCTCATGACCCTTGTGAGGGTGATCCTCGTGAGAGTAGCCCTCGTGATCCTCGGAGGGTAACTCTTTTGAGGGTAACTAATTCTCGCAACCCTTGTGAGGGTAACGCTTGTGACCCTCGTGAGGATAACCCTCGTGACCCTAACCCTCGTAACCCTCACAAGGGTAACCTTCCTGACGTCATTATGGGAAACTTCCCATAATGCAAAACGCGATTACGGCGACGCCGCTCAAGCCGGAAACGGGCGCCTAAGAGCTGTGCTCTAAAAGAATGAATCGCGCATGAGGAACACAGGTTGTAAGGGCATCTCTGCCTAACATAGTATACTCTTGCATAACAGTCTGTTTAATTTTGAAACTTTTACTACAAAGTAGATGTGCACATTCACAAAGTTTCCATTTATCTTTAAATACAGCCGGCACACGTGCACCACCCCGCGTTCAGTGTATGCTTTTCTTCCAAGCACGCAATTGCGATATTTCTACTTTCCCAAGTGTTTATCGTGGTGGGTTATCCTGTTGAGTGCGGTTCTTACCGAGCACCGTTGCACTGCGGAGAAGCAACACCCGCGGAGCTTGCTTCCGCAGGTATTGCTTCTCCGCAGTGCAACGGTGCTCGGTAAGACGCGCACTCAACGAGACTAGCCCGTCGCAACCAACACTTCGAAAAACACTAACAGCACAGTTCTTCTGTGCTGTTAGCTGCACAGTGTATTATTTGAAACTACAGTTCGAAATTCCGAATATTCGCACAACCCCACTAACACGGTGTTTAATTATGTCTGGAAGCACAGCTGGCAGTAACTTCTGAAATTAACTCGTGACAACAAACTTGAAGTAACTTATTGGATGCGGAAATTCTGTCTTAAGGAATTTTCCTAACTTCCCTTGTTAAAATGGTTTCATATCACAAGTCACAAGTTGGTTTCACTGTTTAGTGCTCGCCAGAGTTCAGCTGAGGCTCCTTCAATGCCCTTACATGTAACTCATAGTTTGCGGAAATTGGGAGGTTTATTCTGTCATCACATTCTGTTTATAACCTAACCACATTCCATATTTTTTGTTTTATTTTCCAGGTTCTGTAATTCTTCCTATGGACTTGATTGCTCAGAAAATTAGAGATAGCCTTTCACAGGAAAGCTGGATATGGCCCACTAATTATTTCTTAAGAATAAAGGTATGAACATGTTTTACTTAATACTGTATCTTGTGTGCACTTCCTCGAAATTTCTAACACAGTGTTTAAGCAGCTGTTAATCTCTGGGATGCGCAGCTGGCATTGACTCCTGAAAGAACTTGAACCTGCAGCCTTGTCACATTCCCTGGGCATTAGATATTTAAATTGAATTGTTCCCGCGTCAAAAATTGGTTTACGTGTTGTCTGTAACTTGCAGCGGCAGAAAGCTGTAACTCTCAATCACTGAGCTGCACATCATGAGTGACGACGGGAATCGTTCCGACATTGAAAATTAGCTGGCGTGTTGTCCGCACATTGCAGCAATGGCCAGAGCCTGTTAAAATGTTAGCTGCAGTGATTTAACAAAACCGATTTCTCAGTGAACAATAAATAAGCAGTAAAATGCTATATTTATTGTTCACTTAGACATCCATTTTGTTAAGTCACTGCAGCTAGCAGTTCAACAGGCTGTGGCCGACGCTGCAAGGCGTGGACAACACACCTGCTAATTTTGTATGCAGGAACGATTCCTGTTTTCGCACATCACGTACAGCTCGGTGATTGAGAATTACGGTTTTTTGCCGCTGCAAGTTACGGACAACACGCCAGCTAATTTTCGATGCCGGAACGATTTCAGTCGTTGCACATCACGTGCAGCTCAGTCATTAACTGTTACGGTTTTTTGCCGTCGCAAGTTACGGACAACACGCCAGCTAATTTTCGATGCCGGAACAATTCCCGTATCTGTGGATCACGGTACATGAGAGTTACGGTTTTCTGCCATGCTTCTACGGGTCAAGTTACGGGAAAAAACCATAGGGCCTCATTACTGTCATGCACGTAATACCTAGTTAATGCTGTGACCGTTATGCAAGACAACGGGAAATTTTACCGGCTTCAAAATTTAACTGGCAATTTCCGTAATTTGACGGGATTTTTTTTTACAGTATACTAGAGGTTTCAGCGCAAGCACGAAAGGCACCGAGAGCTCCGAGCGCGCCATGGTGGCTCAAAACGAGCAGCTCCCACCACGGTGCCGTTGCTGGCTGCACCGGTGCCTTTCGGCCTCGGGATCCGGTAGCGGTAGGCAAGGATTGGCGAGGCGAAGCGCGGTGGCGTCCTCGGAGCGGTTGGAAACGATCTCGCTTGCCAGGCCGTGCTCACGCACGTCGCCTCTGATCCAGAGTGGCCCAGCGGCCCGACCCGGAGCTCAAAGCGTTTGAGTTTTGATGATTCTTTCGTCTCGTAACTCCTTGCAAAGCATCGAAGACAGCGGGCACGATCTTTATGCGTGCCGAAAGCGCTGAAAGGCCTTCACGTGTGATGCACCGGAAAATGTTGTCACCTGGTGCGGCCAGTGCCGGAAACGCAGTTTTCACTTTCAGCTTTGACACGGTTTGGCGCCACCATCGCGTAAGTCTCGTTGTGCATTCATGTAAACGTGGCCACGTCGGCTCCCTTCGAAGTGCGATTGAAGTCGATGCTCTGAAGTCGTATTCATGTAAACGTGGCTGCTGTCAACTAGGTACTAGTACTGACGCATTAAACTGATTTCTGCACTGTCAAAAAAAAGGTGAACTCTGGTGCATGGGGCGGCATGCACCTCTTTTTTGGAAGATTCACCCTCCGTTATCCAGCCAGTGTACTTGTACACTCTTAAAAAAAGTGTACTGTAGTACCCTCCTTAAAGGGGTAACCAACTTGCACACAGGGCAGCCCCTTTTGGAGGTAACGTTACCCCCTTCAACGAGGGTGCAAACTTACCCCCTGGGTTAGGGTGTAACATTGCCTCCTTTAAGAGGGAACTTTAGTTCCTTTTGGAGTTAAAGAGTTCATCCTTTCAAAGTCAGCTTTTACCTCCTTTAGGGGGAAACTTCCACTTCCTTGACAGGTGAGACAACATATTTGAGAGGGCTGCTTTTACCTCCTTTTGGAGGCAACAGCACCTGCTTTGGGGTGCTGGTTTTCGCTCCATATAGAGAGAACAGTTGCCCCATTTACGAGGCAATAGTACACACCCCTAGCTTCGACTTTTCCTTCTTATGGAGGGAACTATGATCCACTTTGGGGTTAAATGGACATGACGAAAAAAACGGCTTAGAAAACGCGGACTACAAAGAACAAACACGACAGGACAGTGCTCTCCTGTCGTGTTTGTTCTTCGTAGTCCGCGCTTTCTGAGCTGTTTTCCCCATCATGTACAACATCCACCAACTGGCCCAGTTCACCACCTTATCACAGGTTAAGTGCACACTTGATGGAATCACTTTTCCCCCGTAAAGGAAGGTTGATGATGATGGTTGGGGGTTTAATGGCGCAAGAGCAACTTAGGCCATATTGCGCCAAAACAGAGGTTTTTATAAGGAGCTTAGAAATGCAATCTAAAATAACTGCAAGCTACAGCTGGTGTAAAAGGCCAGTTTTATGCAGAAATTTTATAACTCAATTGAACGGTACCAAGGGTTGATCACCAAGTTGAAAATATGGATGAAAAGGAAGATGATCCCGGAACAGTTCTGGGAAACATGATTGGCGCTGTTGATTTAAAGATTTACAATGCCACAGGATGTGCAGGAGAGTCATAGCTTTACCACAGTTGTCGCAGAGCTTAACATCCTCATTACAAAGAAGGTGCAGGTGAGTCAAACGGGTATGCCCAATTCTTAAGCGGCAAAGAAGAACTTCAACGTGGCGGTCTTTATAAAAAGAGCTCTCCCATACCCCCAGAAGGGGCTTGATGACGTGGAGCTTGTTATCTTCTTCCATATCCCAATCCAGCTGCCATGACTTTATAATCAATTTCTGTATGAACGGTTTCAGGTCTTGGTGTGGCAGGCCAAGGGGCAGTTTTGGGCACTCTTTCGCAGAGGCAGCAAGCAAGTCTGCTTTCTCATTGGCAGGAATACCCACGTGGCTTGGAACCCAGCAGAATTGGTTTAGGTGTCCTTGCTGAAGAGCTCGATTTAACTGAACCCGAAGACGTTGCACAAGAGGGTTCTTGCTGTCTGTTAAGGACGAAATTGCTAGAAGAACGCTCTGGGAATCGACAAACAGAACTGCTTTCGTGATATTGTTCTCTAATAAATATTCCACAGCCATTAAAATGGCATACAATTCAGCTGTAAAAATACTTGCAAGAGTTTTGAGCTGTCGAACTTTCCTGAAAGCATTGGAATAAACCGCACATCCCGCAAAAGTTGAGGTTTTAGACCCATCAGTGTATAAATGCCAATAGTCCTTGTATTTCTGTTGTAAATCGAAAAACTCCTGTTGAAGAACAAATGGTGAAACAGCTCTCTTTCTGTACTTGGACAGTAACCAGTCACAGGAGATTGGTAGAAGGTCCCAAGGTGCAACTCTCTCATTGCTCTTCAGCAAAGCAGCGTCACTAAAGGGAAGATGGAGCGATGTTGTCATCCTTTGAACTCTGAAACTCAATGGCCGAACAATACTAGGCTTGTTTTCAAAGAGTCGGAAGGATCTAGAAAGTTGGAGGGCACCAAAAGTGGGATGTTGAGGATAGCTGAGTATTTTGTAAGCATAGCAAAGACTCAAATATTGCCTTCGTCTTTCCAGGGACATTTGATGTGTATCAGCATACAAGCTCAGCACAGGTGATGTTCGAAATGCCCCCGTGGCAAGTCGGAGCCCCAGATGATGGACGGGGTCCAACATCTTAAGGGCAGACGGACGCGCCGACCCATAAACAATCGCGCCATAGTCCAGGCGGGACCGCACCAAGGAGTTATGGAGTCGTAAGAGGCACCGTCTGTCAGACCCCAGGACGTATGCGACAGGACTTTGAAGATGTTTGATAAACGTAAGCATTTATATTTCAACTCTTTCAAGTGGGGTATAAAAGTGAGCTTTTTATCAAATATTATTCCTAAAAACTTGTGTTCCTCCTTTACAGATATAGCAACATTATTCAAGTGCAACACTGGATCTGGAAACAGACCACGGCGGAGAGAAAAGGAAACACAGATTGTCTTTTCGGGGAAGAACCTAAAGCCATTTTGATCAGCCCACCTGCTCATCTTATTGATTGTGAGCTGCAGTTGCCGTTCACAGCTGGACAAGTTACAAGAGGAAAACAATATTTGCACATCGTCCACATACACTGAATAGGATACAGATGGTGGTATAACCTTAGCCAGACTATTAATTTTCACGGCAAAGAGTGTAACGCTTAATACTCCACCCTGAGGGACGCCATTCTCCTGGAGAAAAACATCCGACAAGATGGAGCCCAACCGCACTTGGAAGGTCCAACCCGTCAAGAAACTTTGAATGCAGCGAAGCATGCGACCTCGGACACCATATGAGTGCAAGTCTCGAAGGATCCCATATCTCCAAGTCGTGTCGTAAGCCTTTTCTAGGTCAAAGAAGACAGAAACACAATGCTGGCGATGGACAAATGCTTCCCGAATAGAAGTTTCCAGGCGGACAAGGTGGTCAACCGTGGAGCGGCCCGCTCGGAAGCCGCACTGATTTCTATCAAACACACCCTCTGCCTCTAAAAAGTGGACAAGACGGCGATTAATAAGTCTCTCATAAGTTTTGCCCAGGCAGCTTGTCAATGCAATCGGGCGATAGCTCGTCGGTAAAGAGGGGTCTTTGCTGGGTTTCAGTAGAGGAATTATGTGCGCCATTTTCCAGCAGTCAGGAAAACAAGCAGCATCCCACAATAAATTAAAAAAGGTGAGCAAACTGTTTAAACATTCAGGCAATAGTCTCCTTAACATCTCGTATTGAATCCTATCTGGCCTAGCCGCAGAGTTTTTTTTGGCGCCGAGAGCCAGTTAAAGCTCACACCGTGTAAATGGCTTGTTATAAGGAGCACCCTGACCACCAGACAAAGGAATAGTTTGTTTTTCTACTACTGATCGAAACTTCTTAAAAGATTCATTATAATTGGCCGAGTTAGACACTTCCTGGAAGTGTTTACCAAGAACATTTGCTTGTTCTTTAAGCGATGTTGCTGATGGAAAAAGAGGTATCCTGAAAGACCGATAGTCTCC